CGACAGAAACATGGGGGAAGCGGTGCGTGATGGATGGACAGGAACCGTACACTCGTACAGCATCGTCAAACTTGTCCCCGTGCGTATCTAGCCCAGGCACTTTTCCCCCATCAGCATCTTCGCCGTGCGGATGGCGCTAACCCCTAACTGTACTTCATGCGCATATTGATTCCATGTCCTTAGTTTCATCAGCACCATGAGAGGGTAGCCTGCCTGAGTAGCGCACGTACACACCGAGAAATCACCTAACCCTAACCCTAAAGCTGCTAGTCGGGGGCAACTTCAAAGTTGTTCATATCATCGCCGTGGAAATGAGGTAACAAATAGTCTGGTACTGTTGCATTGCGCAGCATATATACGCAGGCGGACATGTAGGCTAACACGAACGCGAAGCATGAACGACATGAACGGCGCCGCTAAATTTGCCCGAAATTTGAACGGAATTTGAATCGAATTTGAATCGATTTCCGAACCATTTTGGAACCCGCGGTGCACTAGGGCCAGCTTCCGGACTCAAGCCTATTAAGTTGTGCGGTCCCAATACCATGTACCCCTGTTGTATGCACACACCTGGGACGGTGAAGGTAGAGGGAAATGGTCGAAGGGGCCACCTTTCTGTAGGGCGCGACGTTTGGCCTCCGCCACAGCTGGATGGTCAACTGCGATGCCATGGGCGTCCCCGCGAGGTTTCCGCACGACAGCACCCAACAGCGACCTCAAGTCACCGAGCGCGGCCTGCTGAGGGTTCCCCGGCTTCTCCAGGCTAGACCGAGAATTCATTCCGATCGATGTACACCTTCGTCGGCGTAGCGCGGTCTGGGACCGAGGCCGACGAGGCACGGAATTGTTTCACGGCGGACCACACCCGCGCCTCCTGCCTGCGGACCCCCTGCTCTGGCGCCATTTCCTCGTGGGGGTTGCTTCAGGCTACGTCATTCAATTGACGTCATTGCCTCTATCCTAGTTGAGGGGTGCGTGACTCCAGTACAAGATGACAGTGCTGGTTGCTCAGCGCCTTCTTCGTGGGTCGTGTGAGCGATGATCGCCAGGGATTTCCCGAGCATTTTGGAAACCACATTTTCGGTACCATTGTTGAGCGCCGCGATAGGGTCGGCATCCACATCCCGGTTGAAGTGATGTGATGGCTTGAATGAAAGCTGGGAGCCGTGGCGTGACTGTGGTAGTTGTTGCGGCTGCCGACAAGACGTTTGGGAGACGATATGGGGTGTTGTCCCAAATTTGCAAATTTGGGACAACCCCTGTTGGGGTCGCCGTGCCCCCTTGCGAGGGTGTATCTCGGCAACCACGTGCCGGTCGAGGCGATGTGATGGCTTGAATGAAAGCTGGGAGCCGTGGCATGACTGCGGTAGTTGTTGCGGCTGCCGGCGAGACGCTTGGGAGACGATGTGGGGCGTTGTCCCACATTTGGAATTTGGGACAACCCCTGTTGTTTACCATCGGGGTTGGGTTTTCGTCGCTTGGCAACGACGTTGTAAAACAAGCCGC